ACGATCAGGGCTTTTTTGCGCAAAACAAATCTGAGCAGTCTATACAGGCCTTTTTGCGCAAAAGCTTTGCGCAAAAGGGACTTTTGCCCGAATGGGAGCAGCATAGTATTTCTGCAAGAAGCGCTGATTTCAGACAGTGCCACAGGACTCCTCGCCGCTTTTGCATGATGAAATGGACACTCAATTGAGTTGAAATGTGTTAAAAATAAAACATATAAAAGATTAACGCTTTCTCCACTCGATACCTCTTTGAGACTGAGGTACTGTGCCGCTGTGATCTAGAAACTACACAGCCCGATAGCCTGCCGCTCCAGCCCCTACAACACCACCTCATTTCCACTAAGTCAGAAACGTGCTTTTATTTTTACTGCCTTAGATGCTTATCATCCTCTCTAGAACCAGAGATACAGGAGCTCAAAGAGAGCACAGATCCCCTCTCCTTCCATACATTAATGTCTCCTTATTATTCTGAACCTGACGGCCTGTGAGTCTGAGACATCAGTAATTCTCCTGCCAGTTCTTCTCAGTTGAAATCACCTCACCTGTCAATAAATGACACAGGAAGTAACCAATTGACTTCTCTGGAGGCTCAGGGCCAGTGCAGATCAGGATATATAGCTAAGTCCCTTGCGTGAGTTTTGGGAACAGTTTCCCACTAACTTGCAGCTCCGTGTAAGTACCCCCTTTAAAAAAATAAAATTAGAAGTTTCCCTAGTTTTCTCCAAATTTCAGTTGTGTTGATGTACTCCCAAGACTTCTCTAGAGTACTCCTAAGGGGACTTGTACCACTGGTTGAGAAACACCGGTAGAGTGAAACCACGCCAAGAACATTGGTAGAAACTTGGTACTGGTAGGTAACATTTCTAATAAGCAAAAATCACAGGTACAGCCACAGAACTGTTGATCAAGTAGATCGGTTTTGGAACAGCCTGAATAGCAGAATGTATCCCAAATATGGGCGTAATAGGTATTTTATGCAATACATAACGAATAGGCAGATATTGCTAGAATGACCAAGTTGAGTATAAATATTGAACTCATAGGGGGGAAGTGTAAGTGAACTAGGCTTAATTATTGTATTAAAATAATAAGAACATAAGATCATAAGAACATAAGAACGGCCGTACTGGGTCAGACCAAAGGTCCATCTAGCCCAGTAGCCTGTCTGCTGACAGCGGCCAGCACCAGGTGCCCCGGAGAGGGTGGACCGAAGACAATGATCGAGCGATTTGTCTCCTGCCATCCCTCTCCAGCCTCTGACAAACAGAGGCCAAGGACACCATTTTATCCCCTGGCTAATAGCCTTTTATGGACCTAACCTCTATGAAATTATCTAGCTTCTCTTTAAACTCTGTTATAGTCCTAGCCTTCACCGCCTCCTCTGGCAAGGAGTTCCACAGGTTGACTACACGCTGTGTGAAGAAGAACTTTCTTTTATTAGTTTTAAACCTGCTCCCCATTAATTTCATTTGGTGTCCTCTAGTTCTTCTATTTAGGGAACTAATAAATAACTTTTCTTGATAGGCCCTCTCCACACCACTCTTCTATCAATTGCTTTTGCATGGCTTATGATGTATTAATTGCCTTAGAATGTATACTATTTAAGGTTTAAATCCTATAGTCATTGTTTTTAAGGGGTTGTAAAATTTAAACTATATTAACTGCTTAAAGCTTGCAATAAACAAGTAAGAGGTTAAGTCTCTCTGGAATGTCCTGCTTTCCCTTGGATCTAAAAATTGAACCTCACAACAATAGGCCCTGCTTTTCCTCTCAGCTAGGCCAGTGGCAGTCTGGAATATACAGAGATATACCTATTTCATAGAGCTGGAAAGGACCTTGGGAGGTCATTGTGTCCAGTCCCCTGCCCTCACTGCAGGATCAAGGACCATCCCTGACAGATTTGCCCCTGATTCCTAAATGACCTCTTCAAAGATTGAACTCACAAGACTTTGTTTTGCAGGCATTGTTTAAACAACCAAGCTATCCCTCCCCCTGAAGACACAGAAAAGGCAAAATAGGAGATCCCCATCTGTCCAGATGCTGCCCATTCTCATTGTGAGCCCTCTGGTAACGCACACAACCCCTGTGAAGGATTGGGCTGCATTTCGGAACACGGCAGTGAAGCCAATGAATTTAAAACTGGAAAGATTCAGGGAAAATCCTTGCCACTCTAGAAGGAAAGTGATCAAGAGACATAGAAGGACACAGTAGCAAACTAGGAACTGATCTTAAAATGTAATAATTGTCTGAATTATTTTGAGTACATTTGTAGTTCCTATTAAGAGAAAATTCCCTGAGAGTGCTTCTACGTAGCACCCTACAATCGAAATAAGATGCATAATTCGCGGTACACACATTGCACATCTTATTTCGAATCTATTTAGAAATTGCTTATTTTGAAATGTGGTGCAGCTACACAGTGCCAAATTTTGAAATAACGTGCTATTTCAGACAATCCCTTATCCCTCGTGCAATGTTGTTTATCGGGATGGGGAAATAGCACGCCTGTTATTTTTTAAAAAATGGGTGACATGTGTAGATCTGGCGTAGCTATTTCGGGTGACCTCAGGTGTCCCGAAATAGCTGTGCGGTGTAAACGTTCCCTTAGTGTTTCTTCCAATACTAAACAGTTCAAGTCTGTCCTGGAGATTTCCAACCCTAGGCAGTCCTTGGCTGAAAATCTTCCGATACCCTAAGCGCTGGCTTTGAGGCAGAAAGAGACACTCACTGAAATCCTGGCCAGCAGAGAGAGGAAATCTCCTCACAGCGACAGGAAAGCAGGGCCCTGAGAATCGGCGTAGGAATCTCACATGACAGAACCTGAGTGCGTTTTTCAGACACCTTTATACTTCCTCAGTACAGTCCCTGCCTCCTCTGCCATTGGCAGCGCTCCCAGACAATTCCCTCAGCTCCGTGAGCATTGGGAAGGCTAGAAAATAGACCCTGGAGAACAGCATCTTGAGAGGGTCCCCTGGGAGCAGTCGGCTGGAATGTGTTTTTCAGTCAGTATTTTCTAGCCATGCGAGTGATACTGGTGCTGAGTTCATGTAGAGCACACCGCCAGGCAGGCAAGTGTCTGTTTTTGACAGGCCATGGCTGTTGCTCATAGCAACCTTTTCCTGACGGGTACAGGCCTCAGGCCTTCCATTAACTCTGTGCTTCAGACCCGTAATTTATACTACAGGCACCATCAGAGAATTTGCCAGCTCTCAACTTGTACAGCATTTCAATGACACTCATTAAATAGCCTTGATGTCATGTCTGGCTACCAGATTCATAGTGTTGGCAAGAAAAACGTGGCCTTCCTCACGCCGTTGGCATCATTTTGTCAGCATGTTTCTCCTGCAAACTCCTGCATGCAACAACCATTGTATGAAGTGTGCCCTCCCCTTTTTGTAAAGGCTGGCAAGGACCCTTGAGGTGACCAAGCACAGCTTCATACAGTTGATAAAATGACTGAAAATATATTGTGGAGATTCTTAGCCATCTTCTTAGCAGCCAGTAGCTGTCAGTGAATCATACGATGATTTCAGGGGGCTGAGGGAACCACTTCTTCTACCCTTGCCACTGCTCCTGGGCTGTAAATTCCAAAACAAAGTCCCCAATCAAGTCCTGTGTCTTGGAAAGAAAATGTCATCGTTTCAATTGGCTGGTGCAACAGTTTCCGTCTTTTTCCCCAGAGGCCTGCTTGACCATAAGCATTCCCCTTCAGAGAGTCAGAGAATCACAGGGCTGAAGGAGACTTCAGGCCAACGCCCAGCCACTCTACTTTGTGACAAAGTCCTCATAATGGTAACATGGGAGGATGCAGGATTCCTGGGTGGCTGAACCCCTTGTTGCACTGTGGTTATCTTAGATAATGGCTGGGGCATCCCCATTCTCAGGTGCTCTCTTCACATGAGGTGCTTCCCAGGCCCACGGATCACTGACATTCAGTTCTAACTAAACATACTGTATTAACCACCAAGTGTAAGGGAAAAAAAGGGACAATGGAAAGTTTCAAGGAGCTCAGTTCCGTGGGTACAGGGACATCACCAGTAGCTGTGTGAGGGATGTAAGGAAAGCTCATAGTCTGTTCCTCACCTGTGTCGAGCATCCTCCATAGGCCCTGCCACAAGGAAGGCCACCTGCTCTCTCAGACATGGCACGGCATCAGGCTCTGGGTGACAAAAAAGTCCACAAGCCCCCATAGGAGATTGTCCAAATTGGCAGCAAACCTGGGAGACGACGATTAAATTCAAAATCAAGTCCCCCACCCTTGGGGTACGTCTAGACTACAGGCTTTTGTTGACAAAAGCTTTGTCGACAGATACTGTCGACAAAGCTTCTGTCGACAAAGAGCATCTAGACTACATCCAGTTCTGTCGACAAAGCAAGCTGCTTTGTCGACAGGACAGTGTAGACGCAAAGGACAGTGTAGATGCAATAACGCCTTCTGTCGACAGAACTCTGTCAACAAAAGGCGTTATTCCTTGTAGAATAAGGTTTACAGCTGTCGACAAAACTGCTGAGTTCTGTCGATGTTATGTGTAGATGCAGGTATAGTTTTGTCGACAAAAGTCCACTTTTGTTGACAAACCCCTATAGTCTAGACACACCCTTGTGTTGCTATTTGTCACTTTTGTTGACAAAACCCTATAGTCTGGACACAGCCTTGTGTTGCTATTTGGCTTAAAAAGTGGCAGGGGTTTCAAACAAAAGGTCACAAACAATGGTGTTAAAATGATAGCAATGTTATATTTTTCTGATTGCATTCGATAATGGAAGACACTATCCATGCTTCGCAGGTGACATGACGGAGGTTAGGTAAGCAGCAGAAATAGTGGACTCCACAAGGAAGAGAGCAGTGCTGGCTAAGGAGCGATCAGAAATTAGTGATAAGGAACTTGTCAGACCCTGTACTTCCACACTACTGTGGTCAACCAAACTGGGACAGATTAATGGGGCGGTATCTTTTCTCCTCCATCTCACACAGGGTAAAAGTCAGTAACCTGGTATAATCATTTTCTGCGGATGAATTTGACCACTTTGTCACGGAGCTCTTTGGTTTTGACCCCATAAATGACGGGGTTAAGCATGGAAGGGAGAAGAAGATGGAGGTTGGCCAAGATGATGTGGACAGGGGGAGCAATGCCCTGACCGAAGCGGTGTGTCATCATGGAGAAGAGGCCGGGAATCCAAAATGTCATTAGCACACAGATGTGGGCCGTGCAGGTGTTGAGGGCTTTCTGGTGGGCTTTCTTGGAGGAGATTCTGAAAACAGCCCTGATGATCAGACCGTAGGACATGGCAATGAGACCCACGTCTACCCCCGTATTTAAAATACTTATCACTAAACCATGCATCCTGATAACTGTGATGTCCCCACAAGACAGCTTAGCAACAGCCATGTTCTCGCAGTATGTGTGGGGGATAAGGCGGCTGGCACAGAATGGTAGCCTGCTCATGAGCAGGGGCATGGGCAGGATGTAGAAAACAGCTCTTACCAAACCCACTAGCCCTAGTTTAGCTATGCGGGAGTTGCTGAGGATGGTGGCATATCTCAGAGGGTCACATATGGCCACGTAGCGATCAAAGGCCATTGCCACAAGGACAGCTGATTGTGTAACCAAAACTGTGTTAAGGAAGAACATCTGGGTGAGGCAACCACCAAGAGCAATGCCTTTCCAATTGAACCAAAATATACACAGGGCCTTCGGCACCACTAGAGTGGACATGGAAATGTCTGTGAGTGCCAACATGCAGAGCAGCAAGTACATTGGCTGGCGCAGGGTCTGCTCCTTGCCTACAACAAGCAGAATCATGACATTTCCCAACAGGTTGATAATATAGCACACAGAGAAGGGAATGGAAATCCAGATGTGGGCATGTTCCAGGCCAGGGATGCCTGTTAGGATGAATATCAAAGGGTCAGATGGGGTAAAATTTAAAGCCGCCATGAGGTGGTCGATGTATCTATCAGTCTCAGAAATGCTCAAGGGACCTGTGAAGGGAAAGAAGCAGAGTGAGGAGGGTTACACACAGTACAACAAATAATACCATCAATTATTTATAGTAATTAGCCATGTAGAAAGGGGTTGAGCCCTGGTGGCAATAGTCAGAGATGGCACATAGTTATCTAAGATATAGTCAAGTCTAGAAAAGTCCTCAGTAGGAGGTAACGAAGGGTGCTGTATGGGCAATATGATGACACGAACTTCAGTGTCAGTACCTGCAAAATGATGGCCTTTTGGAGCAGTATATATGAAAAAGTCTTTAAAAATGGATTGGCAGAGAATAGATCGAGAACGTGAGGGGAGGAGGAATTAAGCTTCAATGTGGCCGAAGTAAAAGAGATAAAAGGGAAATGCTTTTTTCATTCAATGTCTTAATAGAACTGAGCGACTCATTGCTAAAAGAGGTAGGTGAGGCCATGAGCTACGTGAGAATCAGGAAGCGTGTGGACATTTACATGCATAGTGAGACAATGGACTACATGGACTGTAGGTTGATCCATGATGCATCCATTGTATTAGAAAGTACAGGCAGTCCCCGGGTTACGTACAAGATAGGGACTGTAGGTTTGTTCTTAAGTTGAATTTGTATGTAAGTCGGAACTGGCCTCCAGATTCAGACGCTGCTGAAACCGCCCCGGGCTTCCTGGAATCAGCCGCTGATCAGTTTCAACAGTGGCTGAATCTGGCCTGGGACAGAGCAGCTGGGGCGCTGCCAGGTAGGGCCCTGCAGGACCCCACCTCGGCGCTGCGGGGACCAACTGTAGGTTTGTTCTTAAGTTGAATTTGTATGTAAGTCGGAACTGGCCTCCAGATTCAGACGCTGCTGAAACCGCCCCGGGCTTCCTGGAATCAGCCGCTGATCAGTTTCAACAGTGGCTGAATCTGGCCTGGGACAGAGCAGCTGGGGCGCTGCCAGGTAGGGCCCTGCAGGACCCCACCTCGGCGCTGCGGGGACCAACCCGGCAGCACCCCAGCTG